TACCCCCCCGCGCGCCCCGGGCCTTGTCCCCGGAGGCTGCCGCTGTCCCGGTGGGGCCCGACCCCAGAGAGTCCTCCTCCTCCTCCTCCTTGTCCCGGCCCAGCCCGTTCCTGGAGATTCCCGTTCTCCGCCCGGGCCTCCGGCCCCCGTCCTCGGAGATTCCTGCCCCGCTTCGGGCCCGTCCCCGTAGGTTTTCTCCCTTCGCCGTGGTGGCGGGGTGTGTGCGGGGTCCTCGCACGCTCGCTGCGGCGCGGGAGGGGCTGTCTGTATTCCCAGGGCGGGCGGGCGGGGCCGGGGGGGCGAGAGTGGCAGTTTGCAGGGCTTGCGGTTTGTCCGGGTCGTAGCCGCGACCCCGCGGGCTGGGGTTGAACCCCCGAGGGTGTGTAGCTCTCGCAGGGCTCACGCAGCGGCGCGCAGCACCGTGCGCTTCTCGGTGCAGCAAGGGTGGGTTTGTTCGCTCGCGTTCCCCGCTCTGCATCTCCTTGTTTAAAAGTGAAGTTTGGTAGAACCCCAGGTGATGGGGCGGAATGGGCTTTGTGGTGGCACAGAGCCACCTGCGAGCCCTGTATCTTTATTTTCACCAGGCTGACGAGGGCTTGTGTCCCTAACTGTTGTTGTTTTGGGGAGATTAATGTGTTTGAGGGGTCTATAAATGTATTTCAAAGTCTCCACAAGGCATTTGTCACTGTAATTGCCTCCTGAGTGGCTTTCTGAGTGCATTTATGTGCCAAAAGGTGACGAGATAAGTTTGGAATAAGCAGTACTCCGTGTAGCAGCCTTGGGAGGCACAGGTTCGCCTCTGTGTGCTGGCATGTGTGAGGACTCCGTAGATGTGGAGTGGGTGCAACAGCGTTTCCTTGGGACTTGTCAGAGGTGGGGTACTTGTTCTTGTTTTTTACATATACCGTGATGCGTCTGATGCTGTGGTGTAAGAACAGACTTGTTCGTTGAAATAAACAATAAGTAAAACCATTTGGGAAACGTTATAGGTTGTCTTACATCTGATGGGTGGAAGGAGACTTTATCTGCTGCTCTTGCGGCAGTGTCAGCACAGCGCGCGTGTGAGAGGCTGCAGGGTCGCATCAGCAAATGGATGTTTTCAGGATGCTCCTTCCTAAGAGCACAGACAATTAAATCATCCCATTACTCTCCGCAAAGGACTCTTGCAGTATTCCTTCCTGCTAGTAGCGAGGGCAGGTAGTTATGTCAATGTTTCTGGTAAGGCCAATGTGACATTTTAGGTGTGTTTTTAATGTGCCTTTTGTGTGGACGCTGCCCTGAAGTGCTGTGGCTGAAGAGGAGATCTGTTCTTTGGGTTCATATTGCATAACCTGACTTCCATTCATTGAAAAAGGTATATTTTGAAGCTTAGCTTCTCAGATTGCCTTTAAGGGAATATATTGTAGAGACAGAAAAAAATAAGTATTTAGACATAACTGTGCCTTCTCCTGGAGCGTTTAGTAGTTCATCTGTATACTTGTGCTGGCAGTTTGCAGGTGCCCAGCACAGAGTGAGGAAATGGCTGACTGTGAACTGCATTATTAGTTACACAATCAAACAGCAGGTAAGAGGATAAAATAAAGCAGTTACTGTAGAGAGCTGTCTAAAATGTATGTTTTTGTGACATAGGACTGTCTGTAGAGTCTAGGGCCTTGTGATTACATCTAAATTTTCTTTGGATCCTGCTATTTATTTTTTGTTTCACATCCTCCCTACTGTGAATTAGTTATTCCTACTTCAGCAGAAACAGGGAGGGGCATGTATGAAAAGTCAATTTTAGGAGTTATCTCTGAAGTCCTTAAGAAGCTGATATTGCTGGTTAAAAATGCTGCTACTGAGGCAGTACTCTAGCAGATGGGCCTTAGTGTCCCAAGATGTCTTTTCAAAATTGGTGTTGATACACGTGAGAGTGTGTGATCTGTAAACTATATGATCTCAGCCCAGGGGGTTTGCAGAGTTCTTGGAGCCTGAACTGACAGCTCTGGCGTTGCACAGGTACCCTTCAGCTGGGGCTTCTGTCCCTAGGAAGGCGTAGGGTAGTGTGCCATCGCCAGCAAGGGTGCGGGAGGCCTTGCCACCCGCTAACTTGAATTCCTGCATTTTTACATCCTTTTTTGTCCAGGGATCAAAAGGTGAAACCTTTTACCTGCCATTTTACTGTAAAGAAACAACCTGGCTGTGGTAAGGAGGCACCTATAGCACCGTCCACGTGGTCTCTTTTTGAGGTGCTTGCTGTAAATGTATTAGAGTTGTGGCAGATGTTGCTGCCCTGCAGTTTGTCCGTACAGACCGTGTGTTGGCAGTGGCAGGTGCGTGTTGCGATGAATCCGTGCCCACGTTCTCTGGGTAATTCTTTGTCTGCAGAAGTCATGCCTGCATTTCTGCTGAGTTATGCTCTGGTGTCTTCCTGCTTTTTTCCTTCCTTGCTAATTCCATGTCTCTCTGCAAGCTCTGTATCTCTGGAAGACATAGTTCTGCTCTTAGTGCTTCAATGAGTGCTGTCTGGAAAGAGGTTTCCCTGTATGCTGGGATTTCAGAGCAGCCGTGTGTCCCTGACCTTAACTTCCAATTATGTTTCGATGAAAGTAAAGTTTTGTTGTGTGTATTGTAAATTAAAGGGGTGTTCTGCTATTAGGGATATGATAATACAATTTAGCTGTCTGCTGGTTTCTCCAGCTTGTTTAAGCGAGGAAGCTTTGTAAATTATTTGAGAAAATAGTCACTCAGGTCAAGCCAGGCCTGTGCCCTGTGGGTTCACGGGTGAGGCATTTGAGATTGGCATGCTGCGGAAGAGCTGGTGGACACCTAGCATGGTTGGTGCTATTAGAAAACAAAAACATTACATGTATAAAACACCAGGACGTAAAATAGGTGGTGGTTCAAGCAAGTCAGCAGATGTCACTTTTTTTTTTCCTCACCTGCTCCCACTTTCTCTACTGTAAAAGAAATCTTGCTTTGAGAGGCCTAGGAAGTACTGACCCGGACTGGTTAGGCCTGAGGATGCTCTTCATTGTAAAAGTGTGGTGTTCCCTTTGTAGCTGTATCACTAGATCCCTAAAAGAATAGTGCCATTTAAGCTTGGGGTTTTTTTTGGTTTTTTTTTTTTTTGGTAGCTCACTTGGCTTTGTTTTTGCAAAATGACAGTTTGCCCTGTCGGAACTTGTTAATTGTTTAAGCAGCAATGTAGCCCTTCAACTTTTTTTCCATATCAGGAAAAGTTTACAATATACTGAACTGTGTTTAATGGCTGCACGTGCCAGTACAATAAAGTGGGCTTGGCTCATATGGTTTCCTCTGAATT